AAGATTATTGGAAATTAAAGAATTGAGGCTATGAGTGGAGTATGGCTCACACCTTACTTAGCTCAGGAGAGTAGAGGCAACACCAGGGAACTGAACTGAGGGACAATATGCCTGGCTCCACACAGTTGCTACCGGATAAAGAATAAGTCAGTGGAAAATGCAAGAGCCTAGCCAGCTCAACATATCTGGGAAAGTGCCCCCTCCTAATCCACCCCTGCAGCACATCTTGAAGTTCTGAGGCCCTAGATCGATATGCAAACTGCTGTGAGTACTTATTGTTAAAATTACCCTCCCTACTCTGAGGTCCCACTGACCATGTCTACAAAGGTTAATTCTTCCATAATCCCCTCTCAGTTAAAATGGAAACAAACAACATATATTTAACTGAGTTAATGTCCTAGTCCTACTGCCTCTGCCCAACCCATAAAAATCAAACCAAACCAAACACACTGCCATCAAGTCGGATCCGACTCATAGCAACTCCTCCTTGGGTTTCCCAGGCGGTATCACTACAGAAGTAGATTGCCTAACCTTCCTTCTGAGGAGTGGCTGGTGGGTTTGAACCACCAGCCTTCTGGTTAGCAGTCTAATGCCTTAGGCACTAGGTCACCAGAGCTCCTAAGAAGGATGGGAAAAACGTACTTTAGTCAGAACTATGGGCAAATACATTAAGCACAGAAAAGTGAACTCACCCTTAAAGGCTACAGACTAGGGGGCAAAGACAGGTATACAAATAACTACAACCCATTTATTAAAGGAGTAAATGTTAACTCTTTAGCAAGGCTGCCACCCTTGCCCTGGAGTCGTTCCGCTCCTCATGTTTCAGCCCAGCTCAATCCTCACTCATCTCTTATGAGCAGTTTGTGAATGTGAGAAGCAAAAAATTAATTTACTCAGTGACTATTATTGGTCCTGTACTATGTGCCAGAATCTGTGCTAGGGCCCCTCACTATGATCGGAGATCCTAGAAGACAGAAGCCTTCATCCACTGTGAATGTGTGTGGGAGGGTGGGGTGCAAGGTGGACAACAGTGGAAGGCTAGCATGGCAGGCTGGGAGCCTGAGACCAGATTTAAATGTTTCCACTGCTGTTTTTTGTCCAGTTGTTTTACAGGCCTTGGGTCAATCTGCCCAGCTTCCTCGAGCCCCTCATAGAACCTCCTTGGGACAGGTCCAAACCTTCTGAGGACCGTGGGGTGCAGAATGTGCTAGGCTTAGCCGTTCAAGTCCCATGGGCTCAGTGGGACTGGGGACTGGAGCCTCCTCTTTTATCACGTGGCTGTGATCATCTGTTCACATCTGTGTTCCCGGGTAGACTGACATCCCTGAGGACAGGGGAAGTATTCTAGTCCCTGCACATTAGTGCAGGCCTGGCATTAATGCAGGCCTGGCATTCAGTCAGCGTTCAGTAAACGCCTGATGAAAAAAACTGTCTTTCCTGAAAGCATTCCCCGAGGGCCCACCGTGGAGTGACCGCTGCAACAGGCCTAGTCCCATACGGTCCGTCTAATTCCTTAGTCTTCCTGTGTCTGTCTACTGGCAAAGACATGGGGCAGTGTTTCCCAGGAGGTATTACTCCCGACTGAGTCCTAGGGCTGCAAAATGAGACCAGCGCCCCCGGGGTCCGGCGACAGCAGCCCACAGCAAGTGACAGGGGACTTCCGGGTCCGGCGGGGAAGGCGCCGCGGCCGTTAAAGGTTGATCCTGCCCTGGATTTGAAGGCCCCACTTTGAGATGGGAGGTGTGGAGGCCGCAGAGCAGCAGCACCCACCTCTGCCAGGGCCGCTTCGGCCGCGGGGCTCCGCCGCCTCAGTCACAGACAGCGCCGCCATCACCAACCTGCCCACGTGGAGACCAAAAAGGCAGAGCTAGAAGAACGCGGAAAGCGTAGGCAATGCAATCGATCGCCGAGTTTCCAGCGAAGGGCGGAGACTCTGTGGGTGGAGACGAACAAGGAAAAGATAGGGGCGGGGCTATGGTGGGCCCTATTTCAGCTCCGAAAGTCCGGACCCGTGGGAGCCCCTAGTGGTCCCTGATCTTTGCGGTTCTGCTTGCCGATCCACCCAGTCACCCTCCGCTCCTCCGCTCCTCCGCTCCTCCGCCAGCCGGAACACCTCCTTGCAGAATCGTACGGGCCCGAGTTCCGTGAATGGGTACACTCGCCAGGTCTCACTTCAGCATCCCTCCTTTTCTCCCCTCCTAGTAAGCAGTGGTCAACCAGCTGGACCTGTAGGGGTGAGGCCCCATCCCTCCCTCAAAGATCCGCACTGCCGAGACCGGACAGAGCTCAGCGCCCACCAGCCTAGCTTCAAGTTGAGAGTCTTGGCGCGGATTCTCGGAGCGCCGTAGTGCTCGTCACCTTTAGAGTCCAGTGTGCAAGGTTCACATGCGAGGAATCGCTGCACGGGAGAAGGCGCCCAGCTTAAGGTGCTTTTCTCAGAGGGTGGAGCAGTCTGAGGACACAGCTTCTCAAAACCTGGTTCCTGACCAACGTTTTCGCGTGCAACGTTGCCCCTCAGACCTAGATAAGCCTTTCTTCTGATCAGCGGCCTGGGCTCCTTAGGCAGAGCAGCCAGTGAGACAGCCTTGACCTTTGGAACAGCAAATTCCTTGCAGGGCTGGCCCCCAGCTAGGTCTGCCCCGTAGAGCAGTGGTTCTTCAGGACGGTTTGCCCACCCAGGCCCCTGGCACCGACCTCCTCTCTCTGTGGTGGTGCTGTGAGCACAGCTGGCTCTTTAAGGCAGCTCTGTGGCCTCAGGCTCCCCCGGAGGCCCTCCTTGCTTGGAAACCCCTCATTAAAGTGCAGGGAGAAGTGAAAACAAGCAGCCAGGGAGGCTGTCCAGACAGGATCCGTGGCTAAGAAGGCTGGGAGTAAGCAACGGAGGACCAGAAGGGGTCCATTCAGGCCTCTGGCACTCTTAAGACAGTCAGCTGTGGACAGGAATGTGGCCAACACAGATCCTAGAAAAATCTCCTTGTATCTTGACGGTCCAGTGTGGACTTTCCCAGCTCCCCCAGGTTCTCTGGACTCTCTGGGAGCAGTATCTTAATTCCTGAAATTTCCTGAGTCTAGCCCCTCCTCCTTCACGACCCCAAAGCCCAGCCTGTACTCAGCTTTAGCTCTAGCAGCAGCTGAGAGTTCCCAGGGGGAAAGACTGGGCTTTATCCCTCTACCCTTGGCAGAGATGGGGCCCACTGGCAGGAAGTCCCCACCTCTTGTGACATTGTCCCATAGCCTCTGTGCTAAATGAGTCACCCTGGCCCACATTAGGAAACCAGGTGATGTCCAGGAAAACTGGGCATCAAGGGCAGAGGTGAGTGCTTCCCTCAAGACCTGGCAACACAGAATATTGAGGCCTGCCATTCACTTTAGGCCGAGGACACCCCCATCTGTCTAGTGGGGTCTCTCTGCTTGAATTACTCATCAGCCTGAGTAATTACTGCCTGACAAGAAGGAGGGCATAGTGCACTCCCACACTACACCACGACACCTGCCTACATCACCCCCACCCTTGGCTAGACTCCAAGGCAGCACCCAGTCCTCCTGAGGCCTGAAATAACTCTGCTTCTCACACTCACGCCCAACTCCAGCCAACTCTGCCTAAGATGTTGGAGTCTGTGGGACAGGGGGCCGTGAAGAGGCAGGAGAATGAGTGTGCCGATTCAGGCCTATACTTTGTCACTGATCTGCCGTGTGACACTGAGCAAATTGTTCAACGTCTCTGGGCCTCAGTTATAGATGGAGTGCCTCTGTAGCTCTGAATGTCATGGAGTTCCGCTTCAGTGTCTACTTGGCAGAGCTCAAGCAAGGAGTGGGGTCAGCTCAGCCCTGTGGCTGCCCCAGGCTGCAGGAAGGAATGCCTCACCCTCTGCTCTCACCCCAAGAAGGACCAATGTTCTTTTTTTAAATAATATTTTATTGAATTTTTGATGAAAGCTTACTCAACTTATGTTCTCATTTGAAATTTCCACACAAATTGTTTGGTGACATTAATTACATTTATCACAATATGTCAACATTTTCTAATTGTGTTCAGTGTGTTCCCTTTCCAGTACTCTTTCTTCCCTTCCCCCTTATCTTCTCATCTTTGCTTTTCAGTAATTGTTGACCTTTTGTTCTCACACTGATGGTTTTTAAGTAGTGCACTGATCTTACAGGTGACATCCTTTATTTTGTGTGCCACTTTGTTATTTCACTAAAAGGTGATTTCAGGCAGGCTTGGTTCTAGGTTTAATTGTTGGGCAATAGTCTCAGGGTGTCCATTGTTCTCTGCTATTCCAGTTTGTCTGGCTTTACTTTAAAATAAGAATTTGAGTTCTGCTTGATATTTTTCTCCCATTCTATATTGTGGCCGTGGTCAGGATAGTCTGTGATGGTAGCTGGGCACCATCTAGTTCTTCTGGTCTCAGGGTAGATGAGCTTGTGGTTCAGGTCAACTTGTTTGTTCTCTGAGCTTTTGGTTACCTTACTGTTTTGCTCCTGATGGGTAGAGACCAAGAGTTGTGTCTTAGATGACTTCTCAAAAGCTTGTAAGAGCCCAAACATTATTCACTTCATTAGGATGGGGATCATAATTTTTGTGAACTATGTTATGCCTGTTGACTGAGTTGTCCCATAAGACTATGGGACCAATTTTCTTTTCTTTTCTCTTAAATTTTATTGTGATTTGGGTGGAAGTTTACAGAGCAAATTCATTTCCACACTGCAGTTTCACATACTTTGTCCCATGACATTGACTGCAATCTCCCACCATGCAACAGCTCTCCTCCTACTCCCTCCCCATAGCCATCTCTTCCCTGTGTCCTTCCCTCCCATGCACTCCTGCCCCCTGAGCTATCTCCCTGTGCATATACAACCCTTTTATTCTCCCATGATTGATCTTTCCAAGGAGTGTAACTACTCAATGTAAATGTTCAGCTGATATGTGTTTGGCTGGAAGCCACAGGAGTAGGTTCAATTCCAGACCTGAAAGGCAGCTGGGGGCATTTCTCAAGGGTTCCCCCAGGCTCCATCAGACCAGCAAACCTGGTCACAACACAGGAGGTTGCTTTCCCACCTCCAAGCATTTGCATATTCTTTCCTTCCTGGAATGCCCTTTTTCCTTCTTGGCCTGATGGACTCAACCCACAAAATGACTTCTGTGAAGCCTTCTCTGGTCATCCCTTACTACATGTGGAACTAGCAGAGCCCCCTCCCACATTTTATACCTTCTCTTGTCATATCCTGTGATGCCCTGTGAGTCTTTCATGCTCCACTACACCATAAGTTTCTGGAAGTCGAAGACTGTATTGTTAGCTCAAACCCAGAGCTTCAGTGGCATTGAATGCATGTATGAGTGAATGAATGATACTGCAAGTTTGTACCAGCTTTAAGGCTTTCTCCAAGGAATCACATGGCTCATTCTCTCACTTCAATTAGATCTCTGCTCCAGCAGAATACCCTGCTTTCTTTGCTTCAAAGCACATGTCTCACCTGGACTTTCCTTATTTGTTCCCTACTAGAATATAAGGAGCAGCTCTGGTGGCGTAGTGCCTAAGGCATTTGACTGCTAAGCAGAAGGCTGGCAGTTCAAACCCACCAACCACTCCTCGGAAGGAAGATGTGACAATCTACTTCCGTAATGATACTGCCTCGGAAACCCTAGGAGGGGTCGCTATGAGTGAGATCCAACTCAGTGACAGTGAGTTGAGAATATAAGGAAGGTGCTCTGGTGGCAAAAGTTAAGCCATTTGGCTGCTATCCAAAAGGTCAGTGGTTCTAAACCACCAGCCACTCTGTGAAAGAAAGAGCTGAGGCAGTCTGCTTCCATAACGATGTAAAGCCTTGGAAACCTTATGGGGGTCACTATGAGTTGGAATAGACTTTGTCTCACCTACTTTGGTCACGTTGTCAGAGGGGACCATTCCTTGGAGAAGAATGTCATGCTTGGTAAGGTGGAGGGTCAACGAAAGAGGGGAAGGCCTTTAAAGAGATATATTGACACGGTGGCTGCGACAATGGGCTAAAGTATAGCAAGGATCAAGGAGCTGGCGCAGGATCAGTGGTGTCGCTGAGTCTGAAACAACTGACGGCACCTAACAACAACAACAACAACAACAACATGAGTTGGAATCGACTCAGTGTCAGTGTTTTTTTTTTTTTTTTTTTTTTCAGAATGGAACTAAGAAGCCCTGGTGGTGCAGTGGTTAAACACTTGGCCGCTAATTGAAAGTCCCGGGGTTTGAAATAACAGCTGCTCCTCAAGACAAAGACGTGGTGATGCAGTTCAGTAAAGATACAGCCCAGAGAACCCTATGAGGCAGTTCCACTCCGTCAGGTGGGTTTGCTAGGAGCTGAAGTGCATAACACAATGTCAGGAGCCCCTGGGTGATTCAAATGGTTACGTGTTCTACTACTCATGGAAAGGCTGCAAAGCCACACAGACACCCCCTGAAAGAAAAGCCACAGCCTTGAAAACCATATGGAATGCAGTTCTGCACTGCACACATGGGGCACCATGCGGAGGACTGCACTGGAAGGCAACTGTTTTTATTTTTTATTGTAATGTAAACTCCATGAGGGAGCTCTGGTAGCATAGTGCCTAAGGTACTTGACTGCTAACCAGAAGGCTGGCGGTTCAAACCCACCAGCCGCTCCTTGGAAGGAAGGTTGAACAATCTACTTCCATAGGAAACCCAAGGAGGGGTCTCTATGAGTCGGGTCGACTCGATGGCACATGACAACAACAGCAAACTCCGCGAGGGCAGGGACTTTGTCTTTTCATTGGCACTTGGTAAGGACGTGCTGAATGGGTGACTTGGCCTATTTTTTCCCTTCCCTAAACTCACTGCC